CATCCGGGTTCCACTGTCAGAGGTCCTTTAGACTGCCCAGGCCCTCCAACTGAGACCCACATTCAGGGAATCTGGGTCAGTCCAATGCTGGTTTCCCAGCTATCAGTCTGGGATCCATGATCTCCCCCTTGTTCAGGTCCATGCTGACTATGTTAATACGTTTTATTTTAAGATATTATTATAAAACTAGACTTCTACTTACTGCCATTCAAATTGATATAGCTGGACAATGTTTGTACAGCATGTAAGAAGTAGTCCTACGAAAATCCCCAAACTGCTTAAACACCAATCCTTGGTTTACAGGGCTTCATCTAACCCTGGGGTGGAGAAATACTAAAGGTAGAAAAGGCATTACTGAGATTAAAAAGTAGTTGAAGATGTGATCCTGAACTACTTATGTGACCCCCAGACATGTTATGACTTAGGCCTTACTAGTGATTTAATATTATTTTCTATATTTATGACAAGAAAATTTACTTTTATTATGTGTGCTTGTTATACATATATACACAAATACAGAAAAATAAAATTTAAGTTCAATGAAAAAAATTGTGAAATAGAATTTTTGGAGGCTGCTTATGCTTTGTTAATTTTCTCAAATGTGGTAGAAAAGAGCCAAAATTACATCTCTCTTCATGGTATTAACTGAATTCTATTTAATTTATTTTTTACATTTAATTGTTCATTGTTCTTTTTATCTTTTGATTATTTAAAGTAACATTTTTCATATTATTTGAACTAGCTTTGTTCATCTTCTGTATGTTATTCATAGTAAAGCAGATTAAAACAAGTATTTAACATTCCTTAATTTGAGAATTGTATATTTTGTTATTAAAATTGTACTTTTATTTTTATAATTATATATACTATATTTATTTTAATTTTAATTTTTAATTTTTTTAGATACAGTGTTTTTGTGTGGTTTTGGAGGCTGTCCTGGAGCTACCTCTTATAGACCAGGCTGGTCTCAAACTCATAGAGATCTATCTGCCTCAGTCTCCCGAGTGCTGGGATTAAAGGCATGTGCCACTACTGCCTGGCTATATATTATATTTAAATGCCAATAATAATCAAATAAAAAAGACTATCAATTTGAGAGGTTGGTGGAGACTTGGTAAGGATTGGAGGGGGGACATCTGGGTGGGGCTGGAGGAAGAAATGGGAAGGTAAAAAGTGATGTAATTGTATTTTAACTAAAACTGTACCTTAAGGAAAGCAACTTACAAGAATTGGCAATCACTAGGAATGACAGTTGCTATTTTCTAGAGAAATGTATAAGTATGTGACCGTACATAAACTGCCTGAGTTTTAACTAGACACTCAGGTATGTATTGAGCTCTGTAGCATTATGAAGAATGTTTTTCTTCTACAGTTTCCAGGTAGCTTGATGTTGATACTTCAACTTCTATCACTTCAGGAATCTTGTTCAATTAAAACCAGGCAGGTTTTTCATTCAGGCAGACTGAGACATGGAAATTGGTTGGCAGACAAAGTTCCAAATTAATCAATCCAAAGTAAATTAAAAAAAAAATTGGGCTAGTATATGCCTCAGTTCTGAAAGTTTTAGAGCTTACAGATTGCAGGTCAAATTTCTATCAAGAACTGAGTGAGATACAGTTAACTCCTATAACAACAGCCCAGGGAATCTCAGGGCTCATTAGGTTGAGCAGTGTTGTAATGACCATAAGAATCTTATAGAGAGCCAGACCCCTAGGGATGGGAATGTTTCTAATCCACACGGCCATCATTTAACTAGAGATTGGCTTATAACTAGAAATTCCTTATAAGGAAGTTGTTAAAACACAGTCTTGGCAACTGGGATGCTCATCTGAAGATTAGTGTTTCTTAGTCTGCAACTGTGTTCTCCAACACAGATGTAATGAGTAGCGAAATACCATATTATTTTCATAGAAGTCTTGTTCCCCATAAGCAATGATGTAAGTTCATCATGCATATTTATGCAAACTGCAGTTACTTCCCTGGGTTTCTTTCTGCTTTTGATGCTCTTAAAATGCTTTCTGTGGCTTACTCTTTTAATCTACATACTTTGGTAATTGTCATTTTAATCTAAGAAAACAATTTTCAGAGTTCATGGAGTCCAGAAGAGGGTGTTGGGTCCTCTGGAACCAGAGTTGAGATGGTTGGTAGCCGCCATTTGGGTGCTGGGGAGTGACTGTTGTTCCTCTAGAGGAGAAGTCAGTGGTCTTAACTGCTGAGCCATATCTCTAGCCTGTGCTTGGATCTGTGTTTAGAAAGAAAGGTCAGAGACCAGCTGCCCAGCTCTAGTAAGTACGTGGATCATTTGAAGAGCCTCTTCTGTTTTCTTTCCTCCATGCAGTGAAGTCCTTCCCCAAACACACATTTGCTATTAAAAGTTTTCATTCTTTGATTTACATAAATGTAGACACATTTTGCTGACATTTGAAAATTCTTGTTATTCCTAAGGTATGCAGTATGAACAACTAAATTGCCCTCTGGCTTTATGAAGGAGACAGTGCATTTTGTTTGTTGAACACCAGAACTTACTTTTATCTAATTATAACTAGGTACTCAGCAATCATCTCTGTGCCTTTCTCTCTTTGCTGCTCCCCCCATACACACACCTCCACTGACCTCTGATTATCACCATTCTGTTTCAACTTTTATAAGATAATCCTTTTAGCTTCCATATGTGAGTAAGGTCAGGAACATTTTTCCTTGCCTGGCTTATTTCACTTATGTAATTTTCTCTAGTTCTACCCGTGTTGTGGCAAATGACAGAATTTCTTCTTCCTTTAAACATCATGCTTTTGTGTGTATGTCTTTCCCATTCATCGGTTGAAGGGGTGTTAGAGAGTTTTTACTCCCTGTCTCTTATTAATGATGCTGCCCTGAACCTGGGAGAACAGAAATCTCTTCAGATCCCAATTTCATTCTTTCAGATATACACCCAGTACAGGAGAGTAGTTACAGGATCCTACCATAGTCTCATTTTAATTTTACTTAATCTTTAGTTTTTCAGTTCTCCATAATGGCTGCGTTCCTTTCATTCTTGGTGAGATAAAGCATGTTGTGGTGGAAGACACCTTATTGGTAGGCATTATTTCATGTTAAAGGATGCAATATTATATCCTTCACAGAACATTCAGAGGCTCATGTTCATTTCTGTGATTAGCTACATTTAGAAACACAGAAGCTGCAAGATACTTTTAGGAATCATACCAATTTTATTAAACATTGAAAGTAAACTGGACATTATTGACATTTATGTTTTATATTATCTGAAGGCAATGCATGTCTTGAATCAGCAAAACAACAAAACAAACCTCCCCAAACAAACAAACAAACAACAAAGAAAACAAAAACAAATTATGGAAACCATAATCTAGTCCAGGCCTTCATAATAACTCAAATAATGAATAATAACTTGAATAATCAAACATTTACAAAAATATTATTTTATTTTTAACATAAAAATTTGATAGCATTCCCAGATAAATATTATTGCAATAAAACTTTGCAATTATCTCAATATGAACAGCATTGAAATTTCTCAAGATTAAATATTACTTTTAAAAAGTGGATCATTAACTAAGGCTTAAAATGGCTTGTAGTCATGTGAGCTTTAATACATTTATACATTCTTTTTAAATCTACCTTTATAGTTTAGTTTCATTCTTAACTACTTTAATACAAGGTCATCTCTCTGTAGACCTGTACTTTTGAAATAAAAAACTAATACGTTACACCTTCCTATAGAGAGCAAACATCACAGAAAATTCTTCAGTATAAAAAAATGTAAATTACAGTTTTTCTTTATTTTGTGTGTGAATGTGTGTTTCTGTGGGGGATAGGCCATGTACAGAGGTCAGATGACAGTTTCCAAGTGTTAGTTCTTTCCTTCCACCATGTGGGTCTTGGGATTAACTTCAGCCCATCGAACTTGGCAACAATCATCTCATCAACCCATAAATCTGAATATATATGTATATGAATATTAAAGATTTATATTTATATATGTTATTTATTATTAGATTTTTTCTAGTTTATACAATATGGTGTTAGATATTATACTTATAATTATAATACATTTTTGATTTCTATTAAACATTTAGATGCTTTAAAAAACATTCAAAGCAGCAACAACAACAACAAAACATCAAGAGGCCATTTGCTCAGGAAAATTTTCACTCTTGATTCATCAAAGGAAGACGAGGAATCCCATTGTAGTGCAACTCAAGTGTCGGTGTACATGAAAGCAAATATTTTTCCTTTGTTTTATTTTCTAGCTTATTCTATAACTAGAGTTAGATGAACGTCTGACGTTTCCTTAGAGGAGAAGACAGTCACTTTGGCACAGGTGCATCCAAAGCTATATCAACCCCAAATCCTCCTCACATCTGCTTGTTATTGACATATTTTGCAGAAAGATTCCTTGTTATTAAAGATTTTTTCTTTTACAAATTGAGATATCTTTCTGCATGTTCTATATACATTTTTCCATCTAGTGTAAATGATTTTTATTAACCAAACAAATTCTTCGAATTTCTCAAAAGAACTACAATATTGAGTGGGTAAGTAGGAAAAAGAAAATACAAATCTTGGGCCAGTGCAATCACTAAGTGAGTAAAAATGCCAGCTGCCATGCCTGTGTTATTTCACTGTGACCCACGTGGTGGAGAGGTCAGACTTTCAAAAGTTGCCTATGACCTTTACATGTACTCCATGGCACACATGCACCCATACACATTCATATACACAGCCACACAAAATAAATAAGTAAAATGTAATGCTTTTTAAAGTATGAAAACATATATATCATAAATATAAAATGCAAATTGCCTCATTTTGTATTTTTCCAGAGCTGGATTTAGACAGAACATTGTCTGTTCTGGAAATAGAGCTTCTACTCCCCATTCATGGAATAACTCTATTGGTGCGGGGAAGATAACGACAGTGTAGGTAACACCTTTGTGGAACAAAACAATTAATTATTAACGAAGCATTCTCTTTTCAGTTTAATGGTATTAAACATCTGCTACACAGTGTACATACAGATAAGCAAGACGTACATTCTCATGATTCCTCCATTTTTGGGTAATTTAATTAACTTAATCCAGTTTAATTCTTCTTACACCAGGTTGTTTGATATTCTTGGCTGGAAGAGAAGTGAAAACATCTCTGAGGTTTCACGATTTGTACTTCTGGGTCTGTCATCTTCCTGGGAGCTGCAGTTATTTCTTTTCCTAACATTTTTATTGATTTATGTTGTTATTGTCCTGGGAAACCTCCTGATAGTCATGGTGGTACAGGCTAATGCTCACCTGCTCCAGTCACCCATGTACTATTTCCTAAGCCATCTGTCTTTCATTGACCTGTGCCTGAGCTGTGTTGCTGTACCCAAAATGCTAGGAGATTTCCTGCAGAAGGAGAAGACAATATCCTTTTCAGGATGCCTGGCCCAGATATTCTTTCTTCACTTTCTGGGAGCCAGTGAGATGTTCCTACTGACTGTAATGGCCTATGACAGGTATGTTGCCATATGCAACCCTCTGCACTACCTGACAGTCATGAATAACCACCTGCGTCTTCAGTTGGTGTTTGCCTGCTGGTGTGGAGGTTTCATCCACTCTATCACACAGCTCATAATTGTCATCCAGCTGCCTTTCTGTGGCCCCAATGAACTGGACAACTTCTACTGTGATGTCCCCCAGGTTATCAAGCTGGCCTGCATGGACACTTACTTGGTTGAGGTGCTGATGGTCTCTAACAGTGGCATATTATCTCTTGTCTGCTTCTTGGTTCTGCTCTTCTCTTATGCTCTCATCCTGCTTACTCTGAGAACTCACCTTCATCGGGGCCAGAGCAAGGCACTGTCCACTTGTGCCTCTCACCTGACAGTGGTCAGCTTGATCTTTGTGCCTTGTGTATTCATCTATTTGAGGCCATTCTGTGCTTTCTCTGTGGATAAAGTGGTCTCTGTGTTTTATACAGTAATCACACCTATGTTGAACCCCCTTATCTACACACTCAGAAATGCAGATATGAAGCAAGCTCTAGAAAAGTTGAGAAGGAAGCAGGTGATATCCCATTGCCTTGTTAAAGGATGAAAGGTATAAGATGTCCTAAAAAGTGCCCTTCCTTGGAATGCTCTTACTTTAACCTGTGCTGATGTGGAAGCCACTTTAGAGACTGGGCATCAAAGAGAAGACAACATAAAATTTATAAAACATTACTTGCAATAATAGTTGTGAGACATGAGTGTCTTTGTTGGGAGTTAATATAAGGCTGTGTTTCAGGAGCATTTATTGGCTGACAGATGAAAAGCATTAATTATGTATAAGGTCAGAGCCTACCTTGAAAGATCAACTCTACCATTTTGACCCTGGAAAGTCTTCATTCCATAAATTTATTTTGATGCTTAATTTTGTTCAAGTGACAAAAGATATTGCATCCCTTTTGGTCTGCCCCTGCATACCAGTCCATAGTGTGAGGGCATGGCTACTGATGGTGTCTTTCCACAGTCTCTTTTGAAGTAGTGCAAGTTCCTCTTGTACACTTTCCAGCAAAGCCTAAAAGCAACAAACTCTTTCTGCACTAGTGCTCAGAAGGGAATTGTGTTCTGCACTGCCAAATTTGAAAAGTGCAGGTCAGTTTGATAAAGAAAGTTTACATGTGAGAAGGTAGGAATTCCAGTATGATTGGATGCACTAGCATTCCATTGTAGAGCCTTCTCTGGAAGTAACACTTTCATTCATAGGGAAAGCAAGTTGCTGAGGATCAGTTAATCTTACTGTTTAATTCCAAAGAAGACAGAGAAAAGGAGAACAGAGCTGTGTTTTAAAACATCTCTGTAATCTCTAAGGTGCTCTGGGTTACAAACCCTCTTTGAGTCATAGGCAGTATTATTTAAGTTGGCTTCTTAGAAATGATCTCAGGACTGTTAACTTGCTTGATAGTAAATATAATTATAAAAACCATAACCAACTGCATAAGCCAAATGCATTAAAGATAGCCTTAGAAGCACAAAAATGCACCTACGTCTTATTGAGGAAAGAGCTAAGCACTTCCCCTGGGGTGAATTTAACCAAGAGTATATTCTGTAGTTTGAGATTTCTGGGTTGTCTACAGACTGTGTTTTCTTTGCCTGATTTGTACTGATTGCCTGGTGCCTCTAATAAAGGGCTTTGTTCTGTATCTTTTGAACACAGAAAGCATTGTATGAGGAAGGAATGAGGGATACTTCACAAGAGTTTTTCACAGAGTTTTACAAGGGAATGAGTCACAGATTCCAACAGATCCCAACTGACTCAGACAACGAACAATATAGTAAACATACTGCTACCTAAAACATCAGTATGCAGCTTCAAACATTTATGGCAGATATTTGTTACATAGGGTTGCTTTTGACTTGTTGGCTATTTTCAGAAAATTACCATGACATAAGCAGGCACTCATGCATGCATTACATATGCTGCTCTGCTCTGAGCCAGAGACATGCAAGAGTTCATAACTTAAGATTCAAGCTATATATTAACTTCAGGTTGTTAAAGGTTGAGAAAAGTGAGGCAGGCAAGTTTGGTTGTTACACTGTTCCCACAAAGGCAACAGGTTAACGTTGGGCTGACAGTGGGAAAGCTGTCTTAAGTGACCACAAGGTGTATTGTGAACTGTTTCGTGAGGTCTAGGCAAAAAGTTATAGTTTCTTAGGATGTAAGAGGTATTTTCATAAAATGGATTACAACAATCAGTCAAGAAAACTAAGTTTAGACAACAAAATTAATATTTTTCTCCTCAGACAGGTTTAGTCAAATTACATGGAGTGATTACTTAATTTCTACAGCATCTGTTTAGTAGCGTCAACTCTAGGAATTCCTACGCACTCTCTCTCAAACATTCATCCAGCTTTTTTAAAAGTTTACTGATTTATTATCAGCATGTGTGTGAACAAATTCTGAGTTAGTGCAGATGTGCCCGTGCCACATTGTGTGTGTGTGTGTGTGTAAGTCACAGGGCAATTCAGGAATTGGTTCTTCCTTCCCATAGTGAGTTCTGGGGACTCTACTCAGGTCATCTGTCTTGTGTTTTACCCACTGAGCTGTGTTTAGGGTCCCATTGATCTAGCTCTGATATAAAGTTCCTTCAGCCCTTTTCTGATTATGGGATGACATTTCGTCCATTCATTAAATAATATAATGATAAACTTTTAGCAATATTTTTACATTTTCCCACCTTAGTCACAATCAATATTTATAAAGAATCTTTATGATTGCTTTGGCTTTTATATTTACATATATCAAAAAAAGTCCCTGATTACTAGCTATTAAAAATGTCAATTACTAGCTATTAGTTTGAATTTACTTTTTAGTCTATGAGCAATTACTACTTTAAAATACTCTCAATCATATCATAAAGGTTTTCCATAATTTAAATTTTACATTTTACTTCCAACCAAAGTTTCCCCTCCCTTCTCTCCTCCCAATCCCCTGAAGCCATGTTAGAAAAGTAAATTTTTCACTTTCATCCTTGGGATTTATGCTTAAGGAAGTGTTTGCATGTGATATATGCATCACTGTGGAAAGACTTCTCATACAACATCAGTAAACCTGGAAGATTTCTGAGTAGGGTGGTTGAGGTAGGAGAGTGGTACCCTAGTAATAAAAGCTTTGCCCCCTTTTCACTCAATATTTCCTCAGAATATTCTTTGTTAATGATGACTATCAAGGAAAGTAGGATGATGACTGATGATAACTATAAAAACCTGCCTATCAGGGAGCAGTATGTAGGTTGACAGAAAGAGTGAAGTGGAGTTGTGCATATTGAAGAAACACGAAGCTACCAGCTTTCTGGACCAAGAGGGCTGAAACAATCCCTCTTCTGCAACCCCTTTTCCTTTAGAAAAGTTGGTGTCTGGGATTATAGAATTATATTCTACAATGCAATGGCTTTTGTACTCCCTCTTTAAGTTCAATTTTCCAATACTTCGTTTTCCTACACTAAGACAGTGTTTCAGACTGCACATGATTGATATCATCTGTGGTAGCATCTTCTCAGGCACCATGGTCTGCTTTCATAGCTAACCAGAGCTTCTTCTCCAAGTCTTCCCCTCTGATCCAAAGTTAGCCCTGCATTCACTACTGATGGCAACACAGCCAGTAGCTGGTGGAGGAACACTGTGTCTACACCATGTGGCAGGAGAAGCTGTGTTATCTGGGCTGTAGAGTCCACATTCACATGTGAGAAATCGTTGTGGTAGGGCTTGGGCTCAGGAGAAATGGTAGGTTGGAAGCTGAGGACCAGGCTGAGGACCAAAGCTATGCTCTGCTTATGTTGTCATGTTTTCCTACAAAAATTCAAATGTTATGAAGAATTTTAGTAAGAAACTAGTCCTTCAGCAATTATAAAAGAAGGAGAAGGTATCATATTTGGGTTTTATTGTTCATTTGAATTCTTCTACAGATATTTGTGTGTGAAATTTTGTGCCCCCCTTTTTTTTTATCCGTGTAGTCTTCAAAAAGAATTTATGATAAATAAAAACACCCCTGGTTCATTATTAATGAGAAGAATATTGCTGTTATATTGAATCACATCACCACATTGAATCATGGGAACCAAACTCATAAAAATGAGTAGCCTAGTTTCAAAGCACATATTTCGAAAGAACTAATATAACAGAAAGTTCTGCTTCAGTATTGTCAATTCTTGTTTAACTGTAAGAGTTTCAAAAACTAGAAGAAATTTAAAAGAGAAGTCAATATACCATTAAAAAAGTTAATCTGGAGAAAACAGTTCCTTGAAAATACCTAGAGATGTTTTAGTATTCATTAATAATTAGTTATTAAATTATAATGTATTCACGAATTCTACAACTATTTCTTGCGAGCCTACCATATGTTTAGACATGTGGTAGACACCCTACTATTTGGGCCTTTCACAAAGCATCAGTAGATACTGCAAAATCCAACAAAGTTAAATATCCAAGTTTATATGTGAGCCCAGATAGCTGGGGGAAATAGAGCAGAGAGGCTCAAAGTAGGAACTTTCTATTAACAGCCTAACTTTGCCACTAACTGGAGGACATATGGTATACCCCTGTGTGTAAAATAAAGACAGCAATAATGTGTACCTTGTAAATATCTCAGAAAACAATAAAACTGTAACACTTATCAAATATGGCTAGAACACATTAGATTTAATTGATTCTGTTACTATTACTAACTATTCAAATAAATGGAAAGGGAAATAAAGTTGGGAGATCATGCACATTTGTTTGAGCTCTGAACATCACAAGCCAGAAGAGTAGATATGACTCAGTGACTCAAGAGTGTTTCCACAGGAGAGCACAATCCCAGCCAACTTCCTGTCTCACAGAGGTAAACCTTCACACACAAGGTCATTGAGATGATGTGTGTCTTCATCATTATGCAAAATAAAAACAATTTCAAAGTGCTTTTTAGAATGTTCTTCTTAGGGTCTGGAGAGATGGTTAAAAGTACTTGCTTCTCTTTCAGAGGACTAGAGGTTATTTCCTAACCCCCACATCCCCATGCTCATAACTGGTTGTAACTCAGGGATCGAACACTCTCTTTGGCCTCTGTGGGCTTTGTACACACTCTCTCTCTCTCTCTCTCTCTCTCTCTCTCTCTCTCTCTCACACACACACACACACACACACACACACACACTCAAAACCAAGAATAAAGATGTAAAGTTAAATCACTGTTTTTGTACAATCATTTTGTAAACAATAAAAAATTAAACTGGTCCAAAAAGTATAGAGTGTATATCTTAGGCATTATTACTGTTTTCAGATCTCATTAAGTTTTACTTAGTGGACAGGGTTCCTCAAGTTATCCAATCTTTTAGTGTAATTACTTTCATACAAACTATTTTTTTTAACAGGAAAGATTTTTTTTTTTAAATTTCAATGTCTTAGAGTGATCAAAACTGTTGTGGTGGGTCCTTGCTGAAGAAAACAGCCAGAGTAAGTGTTCTGTCTCATTGACAGTTTCACTGTGGGTAGACTAGGCAAAGGCAATTTTCAACAGATGAAACTAACATCATTATAGTAACTTTTCAATGCTTGTGTTATTAATTATATGT